AGACAGCCCCCGTCCAGCCCCGAACGGCCGCGGGTGGGGGTGTGTAGGGTAGGGTGGGATGTGGAGCAGCCGCCGTGGAGGGGGACGGAGCCCCAAGGCAGCGCTGGGGTCTGGGGGTGTTTCCCAGCCCTGCGCGGCATCCGAGGATGCAGCTCGGCAGGGAACGCGCCTGCTCCCCGTTGGTGCAGAGAGGCAGTAACCAGGATGTTTCATAGCTGAACGCACGTTTAGGCTCGCTAACCGCCATGGAATATGTGGTTTGATTCTCTGCAGCGACAGCAGAGCTCAGCTGTCCCTGGGACGGAGAAAGGCCGGGACTAACCCTTGGTGGTGGCTTGCAGGGGTCACAGGTGCGCTCCGGGGAGGGCCGTGCTGGGCGCTGCACGGGCACAGACCGTTTGAGAGGTTAAGCCATAGTAACGGAGCCTCGAGGAGGAAGAATAAAGGTGGTGTGTGGGACCATGCCGAGAGTTCCCTACAGCACTGTATTGTATGGTACAAACAGCAGGCGCAGTTTGAGCAGGCTCGGCCCCAGCTAAACAGGGAGCTGGTGGTGTCACAGGACACATGCTGCTCGGACAGGGCTTATGTGGAAGGGCTGCGAGTGTACCCTCAACTCCCTGCCTGCCGTTTGCTTCTATTTTCCGTGCATCTTTAACCCTCATCCACTCTTTCTTCCTGTTCCCTCCGGGAGCACTTTTCTTGCTCCGCATCTCTGCGCAGCTTCATGTAGCTTCTACTTCTGTGCAGCAATTGACTCGCCTGAGGAATGGTTTGGTTTCATTCAATAGCTGAAACCTCCCCTACCCCCACCCCTCTCACCACCTTCCTTCGCATCTGTGGCGCTGGCATCTGGCCCAGGATGTGCAGTAGTCGGTCCTTATCCACTGACAGGTTTTTCTTCTGCTACCTTGCAGCCTTTTGGCGTGAGGAGCTGGTGCTTTATTCTGCTGAGAGGAGGTGCTTTAGCTTGCAGTTGCATCAGCTTCCAGCTTTGGATCTCGGGCTTAGGTCTGTAGAAAGCACGCCTGAGTGCCGTCCCCTGCTTCTGCCTTTGCTGTGAAGAGCAAAAGCTGTCAGATGGCTTCAGTTTCCTTTCTTTCACACATTCGGAAGTTTGGGGCCCTGGAGGCTGCTTACCCTTAGTGCTGGCGGTTGACCCGGCCTGGCGCTCGGGTTGTCAGCATGATGAGCAGGCGACCTTCAGCGCAAGGGCAGGCTGCACTGCTGCGATGGGCAGCGGCATTTCAGAGGCAGGAAGAGTGCAAGGGGCAGGAACAGCGAGTGACATGAAAAAACACATCATGCAGCTTTGAAATGCCCTTGCCAAAATGCAGAGTTAAATTCCCAATGTGAAAAGCTAGAGGGAAATGAGCAAACCCAGGTGCTTTTGTAGTGTGCTCTGAAGTATGAAGAAATCAGGCAAAAAGTCTCTTTTGCATTTATCCCTTTCAGATCGCCATTATCCCCGTGACAAATTGCGCCCCATAAAGACAGTAGTTCTTGGGCTTCTCCTGCAAGCTATTTTTCTTGGCAAAAGACATAATAAGCTGAATAAGCTGAAGCCCCTTGGACTTGTGGGCTTAAGCAAGAAGCACAATGGTGCAGGTGCTGTCCAGCACCCTTGAACTTTTTTGTCACAGCACAGGGAATTTCTTGAGAAGGACATTAGTAAGAATGAGCTCCACTTGGTCAGAGTTCTCTGATTTGAGCATTTCCAGTCTGCTTTGCATAGTTTTAACAGCTGCCCTGCAAGGAAGAAACCACTGTAGTTATTCTGAAGACACCACGTTTCTGCTCTTCTTGACCCCCATTGTGAGCTCTTTCACTCTTCATAAATGAGAAGCAATTTCTGTGCAGTCGAGGCTTAAATTACAGTTAAGCATGTGCCGTTCTATTTTGCCAGCTTAGGCACCAAAACACGCTACGTGGGGCAGCATTGAGGCTGCTTTGGAGCTGTAGAGGAGCAGGGTCCAATTCCTCCTGGATTCAGCAGGTCTTGCCCATCTCTGGTTGCTCAGATACTGTGATTTCCTTGTCTGAAACATGATGTTGTGTAATGCTAACAAAAGCAAAAGCATGTGGAGCCCTCACTCCCAGGAATTGAGTACCACCACCTACAGCAGAGCTGTTTGCTTCCAGCCAGCAGCTCTCTGCTGAGAGGGAAAGGCTGGAACACACAGGCACAGACCCCGGGTACAAGAGTCCCTACCACAGGTATAGATTGGGGCAGAGTTCCCACAGGCACAATACCTTTATGTTAAAACTTGGCCAAAATAGGTGCAAATCCCTGTGGCTACTCTGCATGAGCATGTAGGAGCATGGCGGGAGAAGGGAAGGTAGGAGTTCTGGAAGGGAATTGGGGAGTGATGTGCAGCATGAAGGCAGTGTAGTTTGCTTTCTGCGGGTCGATAGGGAAAACAGCCTGTGAAAGAGGCTTTGAAAAAAGGCACTGAGACCTTCACCTAGTTTTTTCTCAAAGCAGCATTCGGTTTAGATCCTGTCATGTCTTTCAGAAGTACCTGAGGCGTTGTTGCTGTTGGCAGGAGGAGCCAGGGCTGATGGCATGGAACACAAGGCAGAAGCAGAAATGCCTGTGTGGGGGTGAATTCAAAGCACCAATATCTGTTTGCAGCTGACTAGATAGCAAAAGGCAGATCTAGTTCCCTCAGTGCCAAATGTGCAGAGCTACTGTTGACCCTCAGCCAGATAATTGGGAGAGGAGAAATTATCCAAATGCAGCCAACTATCTTATTTCCCTCTCTTCTGGCTTTTTTTCAGTTTTGGCTCTGGATTTTCACTTGTCAGTGCATGTCTGTTGATAAAGCAATTATTGAAAACTCCAGTTCACCCTTTCTTGGGGCAGTTTTTCTAGATGCACATGCTGCGGGACCAAATAACCCCTAAGAAAGTTTGCATGTCCAAAAAGTAGCTTGTCCCAAGATAAAAATGCAGCAGTGCTTACATTTTCCCAGCAAGAAAGGTTCAGGCCTGAGTGTAAATTCCTCCAGGGACTGAAATCGATCGTTGCTTCTGGATTTAGAATGAATCTGTGACTTTGCAGAACCACCACAGTTTTACAGCTTCTTGGTTTTTCCATGTGCAGTAGCCATTGAACTGTAGCTCTGCTCAGCCTCACGGTCTCGGCTTCGCTCCATCGCCCTGCGTTAGCTGATTTCATGTGCTGCTTCTGGCAGCACTGAAGTCTGCCCTTGCTTGGAAGAGTTGTGGAAGATGTGCTCCATTTCTCAGCCTGCGGTTTGGGGGTCTTTTTGGTTACTGTTTAATGCTGTCAGTATTTGGCAGGAACAAGACCAACAGTAATGCAGATTCCCCTAGGAAGCCTTTGTAGCATTTTGCTGTTACTTGGGAGGTCAGACTGTTTGCTCCTGCCAGCGTGTTGGCTGTAACATCATTTTGACCAGTGGTGTAGTGTGAGAAAGTGTAGGGGGTCAGTGGATGTCCCTGTGCCAAGGCCCTGGGTACATGGAAGGGAGCTACAACCCGTTGGTTTGCCTTCTGAACCCGTAGCCTCCTCCTTTTGTCACAGTAAGTGTTTGGTTTCAAAAGAGTCCTTTAATTTGTAACAGTGCATCTAAACCAATGGGTTAGACAAGGTATGCAGAGACCTTCCGTGGCGGGGGGGCGGGACTCTAGACTAACAGCAAAGGGCATACAGAAATACGTGATAGAAAATAGAGACCAAAAATCGTGGGGTGGGATTTGTTACAGAGCTGTAATAAATCAGTGGGGCAGTTACCCGAGGGTGAAATCTTTAAGCCAAAATCAGTTGTCTTCTTGAATGACAAGCTCTACAGATCACAAGCTGGAAGTGGTAAGACATTGCCTGAATGGCCTTCCCTGCCCTGTGGTCTGCAGGGTAGACAGGGTGGTGGTGATGCTGATTTCTTAAAGCTGTAGGTTCAGAAGGGCTATATTTGGCTTAAGGAAAAAAAAATAATCAGAAGACACAAAGACACAAACCCTCACCTGAAACTCACTCTGCCCTTCTTCCCAAACAGCTGTACTTACACCTTTTTTTTGTGGCTCATTCATTTCCAGGTCCATCACCAGAGCGTACTACAGGAACTCGGTTGGCGGACTCCTCCTCTTTGACATTACAAACCGCAGGTCCTTCCAGAATGTCCACGAGTGGCTAGAGGAGACCAAGGTGCACGTCCAGCCGTACCAGATCGTCTTTGTTTTGGTAGGTCACAAGTGTGACCTTGACACACAGCGGCAAGTCACCAGGCACGAGGCTGAGAAACTGGCTGCTGCATATGGTATGAAGTACATTGAGACCTCAGCTCGGGATGCCATTAATGTGGAGAAGGCCTTCACTGATCTGACTCGAGATATATACGAGCTTGTTAAAAGGGGGGAAATTTCAATCCAGGAGGGATGGGAAGGGGTAAAGAGTGGGTTTGTCCCAAACGTAGTGCACTCTTCAGAAGAAGTGGTGAAATCAGATAGGCGATGCTTGTGCTGAGCTCTTCTAGTGAGGCGAGTGGTGATGAACTCTACTAACCAAACGTACTTTACTAAGTGAACTCAGTGTGACAGAAGGGAGAGCAACGCTCCCGTTGTGAACAGCCTCCCACGTTGTTTTGGACACCAGAACAGACCCCGGAAAGAAATGTTCTGTTCCAAATAACCTTTCAGAACTGGGGGCTACAAACCTAAAGGAGAGTGAGTGAGGGTGCATGTAGATGTTGTGAGGAGCCAGGCAGCAGAAATGAAGGGTTGCACAAGACAGGAGAGAGTATATAAAAAGAGCTGAATGGGCTGGCACACACCAGGGTACTGTACACGTCCTCTTTTAAGTAAATCCATAGCTCCATGCTGGGTAGTGAAGCCACAGTATGGATACTTCAGTAGTATGACAAATGGGCAGACAGAGAGAAAGAAAGAGGACATCTTTCTTTGTGCCAGTGGTTTATTACAAGGAAGGTGTCAAGGCAGCACAGATACTGTTTCCTCATGAGGCCAACTCCACAGGAAAAGTTTACTGACATGGTATGAACACTTCTGAATTTTCTTTCTTATGTTCTTGAACCTAATTCAACAGCAAAGAATATTCTGTGGGATATAAAGAGGAAAACAGTAGTTACTTGTTTGGTAATTAAAATTTAAATTCCCACCCAACACCCCCCACCCCCCCAAGTAGTGCTTTTCTTGCTGTGCTGTACTGGGCTTCTAAGTGGCAACTCCTGTTCCAGTAATTATTCAATGCATTTTTACGCATTTACTGCCTAGGTGAGTACCTTGAATGTACTCTGAGTTCAGGGCTTTCCAAAAGAATTGTGATCAAGAGCATAAAGATAGAACCATGTCCTCATATGTTATATCTTAAGGCTGGGGTGTTGCAGCCAGGTGAGACACACCAACATTTCTGTCTTGCTAACAGCACTGTGCTGACCTTCTGGGTGTCTTACCAGGCAGGTCACAAGGACGAATGGAAAGGAGGGGAAAAATATAAAAATAAAAAAACCCAACAAACCGACAAAATAAAAAAAAAACTTGAAAAGCTTAACTCAGGTGCATCAGACATCCTAAAAGGTGAGATTTGCTTTTAAAGAAGTTAAATAGCATGGAAAGCAACAGCTTCCATCAGTACTCTCTGCTGTTAAAGTGTCATTTTCTTTCTTTGGCATCTGTGGAGAGCTAACACTGGGAAGGAGGAGCACACAACAGAAGTGTCTGAGCGGGTGGAAAGGAAAGCCACAAGACAAGCTCAAGAATAAAATTTGTTTTCCTCCATGTTTTAATTTGACAAAAGAAGATCCATCTCAGGTTGGTCATCACAGGGTGGCAGCCATGTTCCAAAAGCTCTGTGTTGGTGGAGGTTTTCTGGGAATGCCATTCACCACTTAGGAGCTTTGCTTCTACTAAGTTTTAACTTAAGCTTTTGAAGTACAGCAGGGTAATGGTGCTCCTGTAGCAAACTAGGGAAGTTCAGCCTATTAAAAGCAAACAAACAAACTATAGTAACTTCTTTTTTACTCAAGTTTGCAAGCTTTATACACCAAACTGCTAATGGGCAGGAGGGAGGGATTAGTTAAAAAACACAGGACGCATCTAGTGTATGATTTTAGGCCTCTAAGTAGAGAAGAATAAAATACTTCTTGGAGCTTTTTAAACTACCCCATCTATAAAAGTGTGGGTCTTCTTGATTGCTGTTGAGTTCAGACTATTTTCTCCTTTGAACCTGTTCTCACGGTTTGCAGCACATGGGCAAGTCTCCATGAGGAAAAAAAACCCCGTGGTTTCTGTGTTAAAGCTGTGAAAAGAAAAACAACCAACAAACCCAACCCAACAACCAAAACCCTAGAAATGAGTAACATTTTTATCTTCAGTGTTCTAGGAACAGCGTCAGTTCCTGAGCCCTGCAGGGGGCCAGCAGTGTTTGTGCCTACTGGGGGGTCACTGGGAGCAAATCAGTGGAAGGGAGGGCAGCAGGGGCCTGGCACCTTCCAGTGAGCTTGTCATTGCCAACCCCCCATCGCTCTTGTGTAGGCTGTAAACATACCAGGAAACTTGTCCTAAAGCCCAGGGAATTCCAGGCAGATTCAGTTGTGGTCGAGTACCCTGAAGATACTAAAAAAAAAAAAAAAAAAAAATCCCTTTACAAAATCTCTTTCTAGGTAAGCAAAGCTGGAGAAGATTGATGCAGCGAGCGCCACAGGAGCTTGGCTGCCGTGGGCTCTCGTGGGCTGACGCCAGTGGAGAGCGGGAGGTTTGCTCGGACCAGGTCTGTTAGACACATTCTCAAAGGCAAGGACAAAGTACGAAAGGGTCAGGTTCTTCCTTCTCTGAACGGAAAGTTCGCCAGGCAGACACCTTGGGCTTCCAGGGTGGGGCTGGCCAGGAGGCATGTCTTGGGCTGCAGAGCTGGGGCAGCAGAGTGGGAGCGCTACTCCAGCAGCAGGCAGAAGCTGGCTCAAACGGCCTTCGAGCAGCAGTAAGATTCTGTAATTCTCTGTGCAGAAACCTGGACAGCAGGGGAAAGATTACTTTTCACAACACAACCAATATTGTACTTAACGGGTTTTGGGCATTCCCCTTTACTGCTCCCTGAGAGAATTTCCAGAAAGCCTCAATCAGTAAGTGCATTCAGACCTTCATAGTCAATTTTCAATTTAAAAATACAAGTGTCATAATTCTAAAGAGGAACAGTACAGGAGGAAGTGTACACAGTCTTAACTACTTAGAGGTAATAAATGGTTATATTAAATGATAGAGAAACCATTATCTACATCTTTTTCTAATTCCTTGCATTTTCTAGACAGCTTATTAAAATATAGGAAATGTAGATTCATCTGTACAAAATTTGGAATGTTTTTTCTAAGATGAAGAACTTATAGGATATGCTAAGAATTCTTTTCTAACAACTGGTTTTAATGCTTTGACTTCTAGTGCAAGAGGGACTTAGAGAAATCAGAAGGTGATACCTTTCACAGGATAAAGGTCAGGAGCTCTTTTACTCTAGGACTAAAAGAAGAAAAAAAATAAAAGAAAAAGCTAACTGTGGTCTCTTCCACATGTTAAAAACAATCTGCATGTTAGATTGAAATTGCTCAGACCCTCCAGAATAAAAGCATACTATACACTTTCCTCGCTTTCTGTTATGCTCTGTAATGAAATGTGAAAATAATGCTGTATTTAGCTGTCTGTATGTGACTGAAAATATGCTTGTATTTAGCAAAATGGTTACTATGTGATAATGTGAAATCCAAAACTTGTAAAGAAACTTTGGTGGCTTTTTTTTCTTTCCCCCTCCCCATTCTTTATCAGTAAGCTGTCTACTACCTGTACCACTTCTGTACTGCAGCCGTAACTGGAAGTCTAACATGGACTGGCTCAACAATAAACAGGCACTCTTTGCAACAGCATCCACTGTACACTTTTCTCCAAAGGCCCTGCTTACATCTTCAGAACCAGTTTTTTCTCACCGAGAAAAAACAGTAAAACTCTAGAAACACCGGCCCTCCTAAACCAAACCAGACCAAACCACCCCCAAACACAGGCCCTGCTCCCTGCAGCAGCAGCCCAAACCAGCCTCAGCCCTGCCGGAGGCCTCTCGGCAGCCAGCGCAGGAGCTGAGCCAGCCCCCGCACACCGACCTCCCGTCCTTACTCCAGGTAGCAAAAGGCTTCACAGCAACAGCCGCAGCAACGCTGGACCAGGATCGGGCACCAGGAAGCGCGAGTCCTTGTCTGTAAGTTGGTTGGTTTGTATTTACTTCCTATCAAACAAACAAAACCCCACCCAAAAGATGAGTTATGATGGCCATCTCCCATCCCCCCCAGCCTCCTGCGCGATGCCAGCTCTAACGCGGCCCCCCCGCCGCACCCGCATTAGGTCACTGCCAGTTGCACACAGTACGTATTTTGCTCGTGCAGAAATGCTTAACTCGTCGTTTCATTGTGCGCAACAAAGGCAGGCAGTCGCTGCCTTCGGACCAGCCCGAGGGAGGGGGGCGCACGCTTTAGCCTGTGGGGATCTCGTTAATCCAAATGGAAGAGAAAATGGCCAGAGAACCCAGGCCGTGTGTTCGCAGCTGCCTCTCCTGTCATTGCTGATGCTCTTCGAAACAGGAGAGAAGCGGCCCGAGCCCCACGCTCAGCCTCGCGGAGCAGCGGGCAGATACCCCTTCCTCAAATTGTATGTTGGGGCTCAACGTTTCTCTGCTACAGCCAAAGAACAAAGGGTGTCACCCTGCAGGGAAGGCAGGGACAAGCCAAGCCTGGGTGCTTACCTGTGACCATCCCCGTTTTTCATCGGCCACAGCGCTGTCCCAGCAGGTGCTTGTATGCACAAATTCAGATGTGCTGACTCACACTCCCCATTTCATTCAAGCCAGTATTCAGCAGCTACACTTCTCACATCTGCTGCTTCAATTGGATTTTTTCACCCCCCTGCCCCCGGTTAAGGGAGGGAAACACTATAAAAGACCACACATCAGATTCCTGGCTTTCTCCCACAAAGAAAGATGCACAAAAACAGGTGTTTGCCACAACTGTTTAGTTTTACTATTTTAATATCATGAAATAAAAGTACAAAAAATTTACAGGTATATTGTTTCTTACATGAAGATCAAACAGTTAACATTTGCATTTATTTTGCAGTGAAACCTGTATTCTCAATCACAGAATGTGAATATTAGCCACTGACATCACCGCTGAGCACTTCATTTTAGAAAGGAACTGCAGAGGTAAAAGGCAACAATCTTGCAAGGCTTGGTAAGAACCAAAAAAATACTCCAGCTGTTAACACCAGAAGTCATGCTTCAGTAACCCATCCTTATCTAATACAGGTTTCACCACCTGGGGGGCTGAGAGTGTTAAGACATCTGAACTGGACATCTTGTCTAAGGGATCGTAAATAGGGGGTTCTTGTTTACAGGCTATCAGCATTTTGGTGTCCTTGTTCAACGCATTTGCAAAAATGAGCAATGTGTGCACATGTATGAAAAAGAACGGGGTGAGATCACCTGCAGTCTCGACATAGCTTGTGCTGTTTCCTCTGTTTACCACTCCTCTCTGAAGACAAGTCACAAACTGTTGTGTGTAAAGTGCTGAGAGTTCAGTAACAGGCAGTTAACTAACCAATAACTATTAAAAACAAGTTCATCCAAAGGGGATATCCCGGAATGCGTACAGGTTGATGCTGCCAATTAACTGACTGAAACAAAATCCAAGACTTCACTGTATATTTTCTGTTTCCTAGAACATTACAGCTGTGTGTCTTCCCAGCCCCAGTCGACTTAACTTCATCAGCTGTACACAGAGATGAAAAAGTAAACCCCTGCATTACCTTAACCTGCTAAAATGTCAGACTCCATTTCATGCATGCCCCTCAACTTTTCAGACAAGCTTTCAGGTAGAAATTTATTTATGACAGACCGGTCTGGTCAAAATACTATGTCCTTTGCTGGACTGTGTGGTGCCTTTTCAAATAATTAATTTCATGAAGCATGCATGAAACCAAATTTTGAGTTTACAAATAAATAAAATGGTGCTCACCATTAGTTTTCATATATTTTACCATTTACTGAAATGCTTAAAGTAACTCAGTCCCTTAAGAATGAACTCTGGGGGTGTTTAAATAAAAAATATTTGGAAATTGAAACGACATTTAAAATTGGCAAAACTATGCTTTGTTTTTGGAAGGATCTTGCTTGTTTCTTCTCTTTACATCCCAATTATAAACTCTAGCCATATCTGAGGGTGTGGAATTAAGGAAATAGTTCATGCATTCAGAAAAGAAAAAAAAAAAGGCAAAAAACGGGTTATATAGTTGACAACACTTAATTGTAACAGTATAGAAACCATTTAATGAAAGCTGACTTGGTGCAAAGCCTTAATCCTCAGGAATACTAATAACTGTTAATAACTGCAGCATTTATACCATTTGCTTTAAAACCTCCAACAAGATTACAGAGAAACAGACTTTTAGTTTTACTTAACAGCTAACTCTTTCCTGATTTCAGTCAACCTGCCCATATTGGCTGTATTTGCCTACCTCAGGCACCCACAACCTACTGCAGCACTAAGACAGCTTAAGTATTAACTTGAAAAAACAGGAAGTTGTGCCTTTGTTTACTAGATCTAATACTTCAGTTGACAGCTACCCTCATCATTAAGATAGTTTTTAAGTAGAGAGTATTAAAAAAACCTCACAGCCTGGCAGTGGTTCATGATAGTATAAAGAAATAAAAAAAAAACAGTTAAGCAATGCCTAAGCTAGCACCAAGCTTGCTGCAGCAGGGCTTCCGTTCTTGGAGAACGTTGCGATGGCAGCTGAATCAGGTATGAGTAGCAACAGCCCGAAGAACAACATTCATACGCTCTAGAGAGGAAGGAAGAGTGGCTTTGCTCTGCAATGGCCACCCGGCCATCACCTCCAGCACGATCCACGCTTCCCACTCGCCCCCAGCCCAGGGCTGCAGCCACCGCCGCAGGGTTCATGGGGACCCCATCACACACACGAGCTTGGCTACATCCAACACACCAGCCCCCAGCTCAGCACAGGAAACAGCACCCCGCCTCACTGCTAGAGAAGGTTGTAAGTTCCCTGAGTGCTCCAGAATTTTAAGGGCACTCAGTCTAAAGATGAAAACACATTAGGAAATTGGGTAATTACCTGTATGGTAGCTTTCACATACACCTCTGCCCCCCCAAATAAAAAAAAAGGATACTGACTTCTGTAGTGGTGAACTGATCTCTAAGAAAATCCAGGTCTTCCTCTAGAAGATCAAGGTTTCTTGTGGCTGTTGACAAATTCTTCTCTAACAAAGCCTGAGCTTCATCAATATCATATTCAAGCATCACATTGGCCTAAAAAAAAAGATTGATAAAAGCTTTTACTCCTGCATTGCAAGCAATAAGCTACAGCAAGCTTATTTCAGGTTGATGTTTGTAACTTGCCACATTAACAAAGGGCTGTCCTGGCAGGCCAAGATAACAAGATTCGGGACGAGCAACGTCAGAATCCACCTGAGGCCTCCACCACTTCAGTAACTGAGGAATAAATCCCTCTAGTGACTGAAAAAAAAAAGTTCACTTCCTATAGCTAAGCAACAGGGGATTTCTCTCCCTGTGGATTGCGTTCAGCCTTTCAGGTATCAGTATCTCATCTTCACCATATCTGAAAAGCAAGAGACTTCTTTTTTCTTAGCAGCACCTTTCAAGTACCACACAACTCTAGAAACAGTTTTTGTTGCATTCAAGCTTAACCTTAGGATTTCTGTGTGGAACACTGACAAACAGCCTAATGGCACCCATCATTAACAAGAAGTATTACAGGTATTTAAAGATACGACATGTATAAAAGTCCAATCCTATACTGTGGCAATTTTTAATGTACAAATCTTTATTTCAGTAAGAAGCTACCACATGAAGAGATAAAAGAGCAGTATCAAGTGAAGATGCACCAGCGAAGCTTTGTCCCATTCAAGAACTGTGCACTGAGCAGAGTCAGAACTAGACATGATCCCCCCTGGGATGCTACACAGAGCTGCAAGAGTGAGATAAGCCATTCTTTTTTTAAAATAACTAGAAGACATAGTTTCCCCAATAACAGCAATATGCATAACCCAACACGCAGACTGTAAGCAACAAGGAGGAGAGGCAGAAGGCCAAGAACACCTAAATATAATAAACTGCTTGTGACATTTCATTATAGTTTTTCTGTATGAACCATCAATAGGATGAATTTCCTCTCATATTGTTACAAAATAAACCTGGGATGCTCCATGAAAGTCAGTTTGTGAATTCTGAAGACCGTCTCTTAAAAGCAACAGGTATCAGACAAATCTCTTTTTATGGTAGAAAAGAAGAAGGAGAGGTTGGGAGTAACTGCCCCATCAGTCCGGATGCTGCACGTGTCAACCATGTCTCTGTCCTAACCAAGCAGTTTTGTTTGGCAGCCAACGCAGGGATTTGGGAACATCCAGGATTTAAAAGTCTCAGACTAAACAGTAGCAGGTTATGTCCACACATAAGGAAGCCTCTGAATACAAAATATCCCAACCTGATTTCACTTAAGTACTTAGAAATCTGTGTTGTGAGTTCTGATTCCATCAGTCTTTAGCATAAATTCCACTCTAAATGCTGGCAGGTATTTGCAACAGAAATCCCATAATTCCCTAAAAACGTGCATGAAAAGGGAAAGCAAGGTGCTAATTACAAATGTAGATAAGATGGGAAGCTATTTGCCAAACTTATTTTGCCAGGCACATTCCCATCCCAGGCGATCCTGGATGGTAATTTGAACCACAAAGTGATAGAAGGGTAAGGAAAACATTCATGAATATGCTTTTTGGAAAGAGCAGTCCTCCAAAACTACAATTCTCCAAAGTTTTACTAGTCAGCTCAAATAAAATTGAGCAGGAAATCTTTACTAATGCATTGAAATTGTCTTGTTAGGTTTTGCCCTGCTGACAGGACACCGCTCCACTATGAACACATGAACAGAATTATGCTCACAGCCACTAGAAGTACAGATGAGACAGCAACAAACACTGTCTTTTATAAGCCTGTTATAAGTTATTTAAACAGTTTCAGAGAAAGTTCCATTTTACTTACCCCCAACCACAAACAAACTTTATCTGTAGGAGGAACTGAAGCTTTGCAGTAGAGATTATCTGCCAATAAAAATCTGGTTTCCATTGGATTTGTGGAATCCTTAAGACAAATGATAAAACTTAAAATTGCTATTTTCACTGGAAACTTATGTCAAAGACAAAACTTACAGTAAAGAGCACACTTTTCTGCTTTTTTGCTATTGATACAGCATTAACTTGGGTGGAACTCTATGTGATTTTACTTCAATATTAAAGCTCCAAGAATAAAGCATTTTAAAAAGATATATTTAAAACAATACAGAAATCTCTATAAAGAATAGAGATGAAGTCAAAGCTTAGTGCAATCTATACACTATTAAAAGTGAAGTTTGCATTACAAACATGAATGTTTTGTGAACTAGCTTTCGAAAAGTACTACATACCTTTAAAAACAATTCTGTTATTTATAAAGGCATATTAAGTGTGCTCTCCAAAACATTTCTTGCAATGTGTTCTGTTAGGGTGGAAAGGTAGTTAGCTTTTCTCATACTCATTAGATATTCAAAATAGTTTACCTTTTTCTTCTGCATGTGTTTTAAAATTTCTAATGTCTGTTTAATTTCAGGAATCTGACTTTTTAGCCTGTGAATTAACAACAGTCATAATTTATTATTTTACAGAGACACAAAGTTTCCTAAACAAGTGATCAGTTTTATTATACAATCCAACCTCCATTTTAAAACTTGAAATTCTAACAGCTTTCCAGGCTTACAAATGCAGATTTGGAAGATATAGCATGTACAGGCATCTATCTCAGCTACAGCTGCACCTGCCTCTTCATCACTGGTTTTCAGAAGCAGAGCAATACACACAGCTTTCAAACCAGAACGAACATGTATTAACTGTAACAGCTACCTGTTTGCTAAAATGGTGTGTTTCTGCATTATTTCTGATCTCCCTGGAGGAGAGGGAAACCTCAGCAGAAACACAGATAAAAACCACTGTAGGTAAAACAAAACAAGTGTGTTTCTTCTGATGTCCACAAACTAATCTAGCAAACAGTTTCAAGCTACAAGACTGGGCACTGTTAAAATGCAAGCTCTCTCCAGAGTTCAGGGCATCCCCCTCCTTGACAGTCCTTGCAGCAGCCTAGCAGATGCTGGGATCCCCACCGGCCTCCCAGGCTGCCCTCCTCTGCAACCACCAGGCTCAGGCTGCAGGGACTGCCAAAGCAGGCCTCCAGGTGGAAATTACGAGGGCTATTTGTCCATGAAAGAAGTTTAATTGAAAGAAAATATTACTTGAAGCTTTGATTTTAGCTTTTAAAAATTTGCTTCTTGCCTAGCTTCAGATCAAGACTGAAGCTACTGAAAAGAGATGAGATCACTAAATCAAAAGTTACAGGCTTGATACAGTACTCATTTGACAAAACGTATTCTTATTTACACTAGGCTGACAAAATTAAGAGACTACAGAAATACTGTCTGGTCTTAAAGGCTAATGACCAATTCAGCAATACTGTAAATTCTTTTGCATGTAATTCTCAGGAAGACGAAAGAAAAAAATCTGGGCTTTCCTAAAAGTACTGCAAACATTAGCTCTCCTAACATCAACATTTTACCTCTTGGGATATTAAAAAAATAGACTTATTTTTTATAAATACAGAACTATGCTAAACATTTTCCAATTCTGCAAAAATTATGACTTACCTCCTTTTCTTTTGAGCAAGATTAAGTTCCAAAAATTTATACTTCTGATACTGCTCATCCAACTTCTTAAGAACTACATCTGCTGTCTCATTTCCAGGCTGTTTCATAAAAGAATCTACATCTTCCTTTAAGGGGAGAAAGAAACCCTCAATGTTAGAAGAGTTTTACAGAAATCTAGATACAGTCATGCTATCATCTTACTGCAGCTAAGTATAGAAGGGTTTTTATATTTTATTTTATATATTTTACAAACATTTTTTTCTGGAGTGAAGTACAAAATCATTTAGCTTGCTTTCTTGTTAGCCACCTTCTCACTTCTCCCTCCTCCCTTTTTTTGGTAGAGAACTACAGAATAGGAGTAAGGATTGTTTCATAACCGTATTTACTAGTACCTCATTAGTGGTGCTTTCAGTCCTGGCTGATGTCCAGTGACATCTCACAGGGATGGATACCCTCAGACCCCGGCTAAACTCTTGGTTTCCTATCTGCAAAGCAGGGATAATGCTTCTCTGTGGCTAATCAGATTAGGAACTATTTAGGGTAAGACTGATGAAGGAAAATAATCACGGCCTGATCAAGCATGTTGTGGCAGAGAAAGAGGCAAAGGGGGGAAGACTGTGGTATGTGCTCAGGCAAGCTTTGTGGTAGTAAACAGCTTGTCTTCAAAAGCTCCTTCTATAGTCAGCAGGAAGCTATGGAAACCTCTAAATGCCAGCCAGTGCTATGGTCAAATGGAAAAGCAGCCAGAGAAGACAGGCCTGAGAAGGCAAGGATGCTGACCTCTGCAAGTGCCTCCTTCAGACTCCCAGGAAGCAGATCATCTGCCTGCTGGCAGTGTTCTCCACCTCCCAAAAGGCATCTTGGGCCAGAAATCAACCACACGTTTCTGACCTTGACAACATTTACCTACGTAAAATTCAAGATGATCACACTCATCCACTGCAGTAATTCTGTAAAATCTGATGGAAACCTACCATAGGCCTCTTCAGCTTCTCATTTTTAACTAGGTGTTTCCATTCCATTAGTTTCACATCAGAAGACGACTACAGTAACACGAGACATACAGCTGGTTCCCCTCATTATGACTCCTAGGCTCTTTTGCCTGAAGAAGCTTACTATGAAATTACTGAACCTAGGTAAGAAGTCACCCATCTTGCTCATCATTAAGGAAATCTGCAGTAGAAATATGTACTCCACAACAGACTTCAGCAGGCAGCACGATCTAGGTGGTACAACGGGACTCAAGAGACCACATTTCAGACTAACTGCCTGAAGAATGCCTTAAGCTACCTCACCAACAGAACGAGAAGCATTCCTGCCTCCTGATGAAGCCTGTAGAGAAGCTTTAACCCAAAAAAACAAGGATTAGATTCAGGCAAGTGTTGCAGAAGTGAGGCCTGAGGGATGTTCTGAAATAAAACTCCCTCTTGTGGAAGCTATTCTGCTCACGTAAATCACCCAAGACAGAAAAAAAAAAGTAGGTGGGCAACAATTCACCCCTCACCTCTGCCTCAGTTAATGTCTGTTTGTACAGACAGGGAAGACAGAACCCAAGTCCCCTGAAAGGAAGATGCTGAGAAGTGAATCCAGGCTCCCTGTATACTGGTGATCTCCTCCCACCACATAATGCCCCAGTCCAAGGCGAGCTCAGACTCACCACCCAGGTTTTCCAATAGCAACTTCCAAGTGCCGCTGGTTGGGCTTTTGGCCCATCTTGCCCAACTGCAAGGCTGAGACATGATCACTTCTTTGACCTTGAACAGAACAGCTTTGTAGCAGAGCTGGGTGTCAATGCTATTAGGATGCCTGTTTCATGGTGTGTCATGCAGCATCTCAGCAGCAGAATTACTGTACAGGTTCTGCCAAAACTCATCTCTGTCTTTTTAGGAAGAAAATTCACTGGCAAAACACCACTGTTGTATACCATAAAGGTAACACAGTCTTTGCAAACTTCAAGCCAAGCTACATGAACACCGTAAAAGTCCTGAAATAGAGCAGGATAGCACATTCCCATGTGGCCTTATGTTTATCTTTTGAGTGATGACCCAAATAAAGAGCTGCAGGAACTCACTCTGCTTCTCCAGAGAGCTATTATCACCGATGGACATACACAGAGAACATGACAAAAGATACACATTTTCAATGTCGTCCCACTCAAAGGCATGCTAAAGAAGGTGGAATAAGGAAGGCATTTTATTTGGAAACATCTAGACAACAGCGCAAAAGAAAACAGTTGAAAATTCTACCTGGAGTATTTTTTAAACTCCAGCAAAACCTTAAGTTAGTGCTTAATGTCCCTTGAAATCTGGAGAGGCGCAAGAATTCACAGATCGATGCCTAAGAAAAGGTATCTGCCACAAACTGTTGAAGAGCCTTTACTGAATCAAGACACTTAAAGAAAACATCTCTGAAGACAAGATTCCCTGTAAGACTGCCCATGTAGCACATGGGGGGTCAAGTATCAAGTAACTGATAAGGAAGTCTTTATCATTGTGAGAGTACATAATGCTTTTAAAACAGAAACCTATTTTCTTGAAGAAAAAAAACTGTAATAAAAACCATCCTCAAGACACTAGTATTTTCACTTTGTGGAATGAAATAACATTAAAAACTTAACATATTCTTATTTTGAATTTAAAAGCCTATCTTAACATCTGTATCCAAGTACTCAAAGATCATCACTCAGGATCTTTTCTGCAGACACATCTGTATTTGAATAAAGCACCTCTCAAAACTAAGAATTAGGAAACGTCAACGGGTTTTAGATCCAAACACAAAGTTATGAAGAACAGAGGGAGAGAACTAAACCACAAGGCCCAGAACTCTCCCAGGTTGCATGGTACAGCACGTGAGACGCTTCAGACACAAGTATCAAGAGGGACAGCATGGAACCAAACGTGAACTGCATCAACAGCTACCAGCACAAAAATGAGGGATGTGACAGACACCCTCAAAGTGTTTGCTGAGGCTGGTTTTCTCCTGTTCCCCACCTCCACTGCAGCACAGACCACAAGTTCTCCTCTGTCATGATGATCAAGGTCTCAGAGTGCAGCTGAAGCCATGACCCTTTCCTTTCACTTGCATCTACATTAGTCTCCCATAAGGGGATGGAAGGAAGTTAGCCACAGGCAGCAATGGCTTTACAACCCAGTAAGATTTGCCAGACCCCAGTAACTGTTAAAGAACCTTAAAGAAAAAGTAGGATCTGGATGCACTGAAAGCAAGTTGTCCTGCACCCGTTTGTTGAAGACCTGTGCCTCAGCAAGACACACAGGTAATATATTTTGGTATTTTTAGGTGTAGCACTTGTAAGTCAAATCAATTTATATCTATAAGAGCAGTCATATGTGATCAGTCCAAACTTCTCTGGCAAAGATATCGAGACAGATCTAAGAAATACAGATTCTCAAAGTCCAAGAAAATCTCAGTACTAAAGCAGCATGATAAAGAAAGTGTTCAGGGCACACATCTGACGTTTCAAGATGACACCAAGGCAGCCAGGTATAGCCAGTCTGATCAATACTTATTGATCAAACAAAAGAGCCATCAAGACAGCACATCAAGACCTAGCTTATAGCAAGAAGTGAACATCGCATAATTTTGACATTATGTCACTAAGTCGACGAATTCTTCTTTTCAAACAGTCAACAGAATTATTAAATGCTTGGTAAATCACTTTTTAAAGTTAGATAAACAAGTTCAGCCTGCTTTCCAAAAGATACACATTTGCTGGTTTTTGAGAAGTCAGAAACCTATCTAGACACTGCAGTTGCTTCTGCAGAGCGATTCTGCTCAATAGTCAAGAACTAGATTATGAGAGGAAGATGCAGGGAGAGGTGCTAGGTGCGCAGTCCGGCATTATCTGAGATGAAACAGAAGTGACAACACTGCTCCGTGCAGGAGGAGCCGTCCTAAGGAACCAAGGCTTGGTATGCACGACAGGAGAGTTCATTCATAACACGCTCATCATTGGCGTGTGAGTTAGCCAGTGAAATAAGATAGTAATGCTTTCAAACGGGGCTCTGAGTTTTCTGTAGAGCGTATTAATACTTAACCACGCCACAACAGAATCTAAACAAAGCAAGTCACCCCATACAAGTCCTCAGGACTAAAGCACCCCCCGCTCCCGGGGCACAGCACCCTGCTGAGGGAAGAGAACTGCTGCGGTACGGGGCTGTCTCAGGCCGGCCACGGGCAGGGAAGGGCAGGCCGGGTCCGCGGGACAAACCCGTGGCGCTGG